TGGCAAGACCATGGAAAATTAATGGGAAAGATGAATACCACTTAAGTGGTCATTTTTCGCCGAGTACAGTTTCTATGGGAGAGTGAAAAGCAGTGCATTCAAAAGCTGACATTCTATCGAGTCCGAATTATTAAAAGATTATGCTGCAAGATAATCAATATTACAGCTACGCCTAAGTGATCCTTCCTAATCGAAAACACATTTCAGAATTTCAGCCAGCATTTCATGAGATAGGTCACTCACTGTAAGTTGCGCCAGCAGATATAAAGTTTTTAGCTATATACTCTGCAAAAGGATGTTAGTGGAGACCTGAGCATAAAATCAGTGCATATGAATGACAGCGTTTTTAAACCATCGTCTCTCCTTCTAGAAAAGCAAACGGCCCTAGTTCCCCGGTAAAAACCACACTTACACTAGGCTGCCTTCATTGCGCCTGACCACCCTATGGAAATAAACACACAGTGATTAGCATGCGCCAGTGAGCGATAAGCCCGTTTGGAAAGTAAAGTGGTCTCAGGCTTGGCATTGTTACGATTCTGGTACCTGCCTACATCATGTCAGTCGATATCCTAAATCCTCTGGGAAACCAGTAAGCATTGTATGATCACAATGCCAGTCACCAAACATGATTTTTGTCTTCAAAGTTTAGAGATCCTGTTAAGAGTGCTATGGGAACTCAGGCCCTACTTTATCCCAAAACGCTTTGCTACAAAACGAGACTGAAATGCTGAATTTCCGATTTGCTGAACTATTTTACTTCTGAGCAGACAGGTCGCTTAGACCATAGGAGGTTTAACCGGCGACTCAGGTAGACAGAGAATTCGTTTAGTTCGCACAGGTGACAGGTGTTGCTAAAATAGCTTGACAATTAATTCGCCACACGAATTAGGGTGGGCGGCGATCCATCGTCCACCTCCAGCATTTCATGACTGCACAGATTCCCGATTTTCCATCCTCTGTCTTAACATATGCCCTATTACTAACAAAAAGTTTTACTCAATATCCAAACGCGGCTTACAACTCTTTGTTGCCGTTATCCCGCAAAGACATGCTTTCTAAAATTTCCGCTCTTCCAAACTCCTTTAGGTCGATTCATAATGCAGGAAAGGACTATTGGAGGGAAGTCACCTATCCATAAACCTTCTAGGGTGTTCCCTGTTGGATTTGAATTTGTCATTTATACTTTATTTTGTAATTGAAAACTTGGCGGAGAACATACTTGCTAGAATTCACAAAATGAACAAACACTGACAGATAATTCTACTCACATCTGCAGCGATTCCAGACGTTTAGGAGCTCATCATTATATTAATTGCGCTTGTGTTCACCGAAGGGTGATTTCTGTTCTTAAAACTTACTCCTGTGTCGGTGAAATATATCACTTTTACGGGACTGGATTATTCTGTTGTCTCGGGAGCACACAGCTTTTAGTTCCTGCTAAGATGGTTGCATTTTAACCTTCGCCTGACATCGTAACTTATTTTTTCGCAGCATTAACTACCGTCTGCAGACGTTTTCCTGTGCGCTCAGAACTACAGTTCATTTCTCCACTTGGAGATCCAATGGTTCCTCTCCCTGTCTTGCCGGCAAAAATCAAATCAAGAGGTTTAGAAACCTAAATTTCAACCTGAATATAGGAATAAGGCTAAGAGGTTATTAGAATGTTTGTCGCCATTCAGTCATTTCAGTGGTCATGATTGTCATTATGGTTCCTGGATCTATTCTGACCACATCCTCAAAAAGCATCCCTGCAAATCTTTTGAAGCTGTCAAGAAAGCATTTTCGGCTTCGAATGGTTAGTAAGTCAGTGTGTCGAAACTGATCTTCATGGCATCGGTTTTGTAGTTCGCAATTTGCAGTAAAGGTGTCTGAACTAGTGAAGTCTAAATGAACTTTTGCGTTGACAAGCGACATTCGGAAATCCTGTGGACTGAAAAGTTCAGAAAAGAAGAAGAAGGAGATCCAAAGTAAATTCCCGATTCCCAAAAACCGCACGCGCCTCATGTGTTGTAGCAGAGGAGTGGGACTGGAAATATGAAAGACCGTCCAACGCTATGTCTGCTATCCCAAAGGATGATGAATAGGTCAGGCATAAGAGAGCGAGGAATTGAATAATTACTGCTATAAGTGTTGAAAGTACTGCCGAACATTTGTGACTATATTAGAGAATCTGTAGCCCGGCCAGGGCTACATGCTAGAAAGTAATATACCGCAGAGGAAAATGGATCTCCCGTATCATAGGTAATCTTGCGCTAAATTCTGGGCGTTAGGGTTTGTGTCAGAGCGCAAGGGCATACTTTCCGTAGTTCAATGGAAAGTAAAAATCCTCACAGGGCTTGGCACAAGCCACTTTTATGAGCCAAAATGAGAAAAAACTACGTTTGGTAAAATAACACTCTTGAAAACTCGCTTCAACTGGAAAACCGATGCTACAGTCAGATAAAAGCGATACAGGCCTGCGCCTGTCAGCCAGAACGTTGCAAATTAAAGAAAGCAGAAAGTAGCTGAACGTCATGAAAACGCTCAAATTTCTAAAAAATGGAATGTTTAGTGTATTAACATATGGAGTGCACTTCGGCAGCTGGAGCGGAAAACTTGGTTTAAAGGAAGACACTGATAAAACGGTCTCCCTGGTTAGTTTTAGTACATGTAAACCTCTTCATATTTCCGATAACTGTCAAAAAAGTGATCAAAAATGAACCTGGATACGCAGGGAAAATCACAGAGGACGTAGCCGATAGTAGGGGAGGAATAACAGTGAGGCAGACATCACAGAATCCTGGTTTAAACAAATTGTGCACACAGTCGCAACAACATGAATTCGTGTTGAGAACACTGATTCTGATATCCTGCAACCCCAGATGTATTCTTTGCGCATTAATTAGTTTTGCTTGCCTTTATACTCGCATCAGGACTATTTCCAGGACCTATCATTTTATTGGCATTACGGTTAGGCGTTGTTGTGGCATTTCAGAGAAAGAGAATCCGGTCGGGAGTCCTAAGACGTATTCTCCAAGTCAGTCTCGCAGTAAAGGTTTTCTGATCGCAGAGGGTTCTTGCACCTTGACAGGAATTCCGAATATATATTCTTAAGATGGCCTGCCAATCCAGAGGTCTGAAATCACTAAGAACCTGTTAACAAGTACGTCGTTTAACAAAAAACATTGGGTAGAAATGATAGGAGAAAAAAATATTTTTACTTGATCTTATCCGAAAAAATTGTCCAAACATTTGACGACGCTTTAAAGCACTACCATATTAGCATAAAGTAATTACTCCATCTTTCTTTTAGTTAAGTTTCCCCGTTTAGTTGGAAGCATATTTAGTACGGTGTCTGCACATCATCAATGTCAGTTTTGCATGCAGCGGTGGATGTTTATTCTTGTTAGAAAGCACGAGTTACGTAATCCCGGCCAAGAAGCCGGGAGTTTCCATTTTTTTGTTTAAAATATAAAAAACCGTGCGAGCAGCAAGCAAACATTTCTTCAGATGGTCACAGGACCTCAGTTATTTGCGGTGGACCTTAAAAAAACTAAGAGCCCTTTCAAATTTTCAGTAGGTTTATTTCAGTTTTAATTACATGCTCGTGGGGCAGACACAACGAAGTCCAGCATATAAAAATGTTTTCGAGCTCCTGCCAATGCAAAAATGACGAGACTCGTTGCTGTCTTACAGCAAGCGGGTGCCTTCACATGGCAAGTTTCTCCTCCCTCTGGACAACTCCTACTGTATCTGCGAGTTTAGCAACATCAAAGACATTGGCAAGGCTTATTCTGACCACCCAGTCCACGCGCGTGCACGATACTTGTGAATCTTGCCTAGCGCCTGCCATCAGCCGAACAGATGTAAATACTTGATAACAGTAGGATAGAAATCGGTCGTGAGGGCAGTAAGGCTTATAGGGATAGCGATGGCGTGTTTGAGTCGCTCACGTTGGGATTAAAATCTTCCCCTGTTGCTACAGCTGGCGCCGTCCTCCCAAATCAGATTTCAATCGAATGATGCAAACCGTCTACACAGTGGCATCATCACAGCCTCGGCAGGAAGCCAACGTCAAAAATACGAGTCATAAAGGACTTGACCGCCACAAAGGAAAGTGGCTGTTTGCGCACACAGAACGATCCCGTACACGCACCGTCCGCCAATCCTACCCGCACAGTGTTAAAGCGATTGGACGAACCGTGGCCTGCTCCCACGCACACATGCAGCAGAAGGGGTGAAGGTGGATTAGGAAGAGGAGGGGGAGGAGGGGATGCTGATCCCGTATTTGTTTAAGAATTCGGAGTTACCGGACCAAGGCCACGGTGCAAGGACACTTCCCTGAGGCCTAACCAGCCAGCGCACAAAACGTCTCCTCCGCGCCTTCCCCTCCCTTCTGTTCTTTGTCTTCTTCCTCTACCATATCCTCTTTCCCCTCTTCCCAATCAAGTCGAGTTGCGGGAAACTGCGTGGCAGACACGCGCGCACACACACACACGTACCTTCCTGACGAGCCAAAGATAAATGACAAGCAGGAGGAGGGGAGGTACCAGCTCCTCTCCCAACTACCGCCTTGGCTTACCGCCAGCTGCCAAATCTGTCTCCACCCGAGCGAGAGTTGCAATCTCCCTCTCCGTTACTCGCGTCTGATCTTCCTCCGGCCACCGGCCCCTCTTCCTCTATTACGCTTTCCGGTATCCGGTCCACTGCCCCCTTTCGCCCTGACAATGAGGAAGGCCCCACTCCGCTGGCGCGCAATTGCATCCGTCCTGTCCAATCGGAAAGCAGACCAGTCTGTGGTTATTTTTCCTCCTTGCCCTCTGCCCTCTGTAGCCAACGGGAGGGAAGAGTTTCAGGGCGGTAACAAAGGGTACTTGATTTACACTCCCACTCTGTCAACCATTCACTTCGACTCCATATCAGACTAATTACTTCGACTCCGCGAGACCTAATCTGGGAGATCCTCGAATTGTATCGTCTTGTGTGCGTGCTCTAGGAAAACCAGAAGAGCCGAAAGTAATATGTTCATCATCCGGTATGTACATTTACGTAATCTCTTATTTGCATCAAACTTTTTTTGTACATTTCACGCAGATTTTATATTCAGTCTACGTAGTGAAAACCTTGCGTCATGTCAATATTCAGGACCAAACGAAAACCAGAACTTCTATATATACCCATCGTTGCGCTGTTTGACGAAACAGCGCCGCTGGGTTGTTTGACAATGGTTTTAAATACGGATAACCAAGCGTGCCCCCTTTGAGTTATATTGTCACCCTATTATAGCTCAAGAGGAATGAGTAGTTATGGCATCACCTCCTTGTTCTTGACAGACAGGTTGTCAATATCAGTTTGTTTAGTCGTTTCTGAGTGAGTATTCTCAAATGCGCTGCTCATTGTCCTTATAAGCAGAAGATTTCACGCAAAGCATGTAATAGGAGAATAAAATTTTTCAGTGTATTACCCAACAGTGCCCCTTGAGAAGCATTTACCCTGTCTTTTTTGCAGTCTTTATTGCCTTTTCTTCTCAAGGAGACTGATATTTTCTGAAACCTTCTTTGTCCAGCGAACGTGAATGTAAGAGTTTTAGAGTTCCGCAAAGTGAAGGAAATCAAAAATTCCTCCCAGCAGTTGAAACTTCCTTACGGATTCTTATAAACAGTAAGTTAGCAAGTAGAACTTTTGGGTTAAACAAACAATTATCACCTAGAAAACAAATAGCGTTTCATTACCGACCGCTTACCCGAATAGAAGGTAGAGGAAATCAGATTATTAGAAAGGCACCAGAAAGGTCAACCTTAGACAGAAACATATTCTCTCCTCTAAACAAAATCCATATATCAGAACCAGCTCTGGTTAAGAATAACGGTGGTTTTCAAATGCGGAACTTCTCGAAAATGTATGCATTGTCGTAAATTACGTTTTCATTCCACCTCATTAACGAAAAATCACGTCTGCTACTACCAGGACAAATTTTAATTGAAAAACCCCACTAGAGCATCACTTTTACATTATTCGGATTGGTGTAACAACAAAGACAAGTGAGACAGAAATGGTCATGTCTGGCTAATTAGCCGTCATCAGCTAGCCATACGCAATCCCGTGTCTGGATGACTTGGTATTCGAACTAGGGTTCTTTTATCACCGTGCATCTTTAAGTCCGAAATTCTAATACTGAGCCACTGACCCAGATCGCAGATCCAGTTTATTCAGAAAAAACTGAAAAATACAATTCTGTAGAGCATCTCATAAGGGAATATTAAATAAGCAGATTTTATGCGAGGTGTACTGGACCCAAACTGTGTATAAAAGTTTTACCTTACAATTTTCCCGAACCGCTTGTTTTCACGTTCGTTCTTATCGCCTAAATTTCTAGCATGCTCTCTCGCTATCATTTGTTATTCAGTGATGCGCCTGAGTTTCGGACATAAGATTGTTCGGTATTCGTATATTTTATAAGCTTCGGTCTACGTCAACAGGAAAAGTAGGGAATTATTCTACGGTCATATAATGCTACCCTTGCTAGTTTTCCCAACGCAAGGCATGGGCCGACTTTGGTTCCCAGTATATTTTACAGACTATTGCCGAACAACGCAGCTTTCATATGCAAAAATTTGAAAACTGACTATTTTTCCGGCTTACGAAGGGTTCCAAAATTAAAATACAACCATACAGTCCATCGCCCAGTGAGAACATCTGAACCATGTCGTTTAGCACTGAAATAGGTTTATTTGATGCAGAAAGTATTACTAACAACTTATGGTAGTAAGCTTAGCGTATAAATATAAATTATGCCGGCCGTTAGGTAAGATTTAGAGCATGACCCAGGTAAGACTTAAAAGCTGCACCCAACAAGGCGCACAGGCTTGTAACCCCGGGAACTGTCGAACCTTCGAGCTATTTACTAAAATTATTGTCGGTTAAACTTACATACGGCAGTAGAAACTATTTATTTAAGGTTCTGAAAAAAGCAGCCGGCCCTTCTTTGTTAAAATAAACAAAATCATAAATATCATGGATGCTCTCAACTGATACTTCGATTCCGCCCTCTAAAATTCGATGATATTAAAGTTTGTGAAGGTAACCCATGGACTTCTCAATTGAACCAGCAATTTGAGTAAAAAATATTTCACGTATGCACAGCTGAAGCGATGTCTAAAGTTGGCCCTTGAAAGCCAACCCTATACAAATGATGTCATTTGGGGCAATTGTTACTTGTCTGAAGATCAGTCGACATTACTTACCGCTGTCAATATACAGTTGGTGAAATGATCCAACAAATTAAGCTATATTCGTATGCATCTATGAATATACAGACATAAGTATATTCCGGTTTATGACACACCTAACACTAGAAATAATTTTGCCTGTTACATACCACCTTACCCAAACCGACCCCATCGAGCCAATCACCTTGGATTACTTGCTTTCGACTAGTTTACGCGCCTTTAATTCGCAACTTTCAAGTTGGGCGGTCAGTTCCGGCGCCGCGTCAGAGTAATAAAACAAACGAAAGGCAAAAATTTGAATTTCCTTAACGCCTTCCGTAGATTCAGTTAATTGTCGCGTCCGTCTGTCCTACTGTTAAAACGAATATAAACACCTTTCTCGCACTTCGGGAGTCTTAGTGCTCTATTTTCTCAGTGGGCTCGCATATCCAATCCATTCCACGTTAGCGCTACTGTAAAGTTGGAGGTAGAACACGGAAATTGATACTCTTCCCACAATTTAACGCGAGACCGTCTGTATTGCGGGGAAGCGTTCCTATTTCCGTGTCCTGTTGTGAGGGGCAATATAAACGATTTCTGTCAAAGTCTATTTTGGGTTTTTTACTTTTTTATTCCATACTAATCTAAAGACCTTAGGTGAATTTCGTACTATGCAGTCACACCTAGTATTTCTAAAGGGACATTTGGATGAGAGACAGAATTCTGCGGTGAGCAATCTTATGAGTCATTCAGGTGTGCTGGTGTTTTCAGCCTGAAATGAGCTGAAAGACCGATATACGAAGATATGTAACTGAAGCAGAACAATTGGACTCTCCTTTTAAGGGATGATCGGCCGATAACATTAAGTATCTTAAGGGTTGCTTTTAGCTAAGTCTTAAATGATTTAATAACTCAGCGTTGTCTCCTTTAAGCTTGCTTAGGAGTTTACAAAAAGGCGTGCTGGGTCGTTGCTCTGGTTAGAGCACTCAACAGCAGTTGAGGACCTCGAAATCGCTTTCCGTTTCAAATGATCTTGGTTCACTCTATATTTTGTTTTTGTTTGTTGGTCAGGAACATATAAGATACGAAATATCCTGGCAGCAATTTGATAAACTCTAGCGTTACCTAAACTTTGTCGAGCTATTTCTGTGAAATCTCGAGGTCACGGTCCCGCACCAGTTAATTTCCTCAAATAAATTTGCAAGCAGAATTTCGAGGGACCCTGGTTCTTCTGTCTAGGAGCATTCAATGTAAGGCTTCTTTTTCTCAAGACTATTTTGCTCACCAGATCGAGTACTTCGGAAATTATGCGCTAATATTTACAAAAATATTGTTTTCAAAAAAAAACCGATCCTTGCGCGCGTGGAAAAGGATGTTGTTGAATTACTGTCTTCGCCTCCCACCATTCACCAACGACAAATCGCATTAGAAGTTTATGCTTTTAGAACTTGCAAAGGTTTATCTTTGGCAAAACACAGCATTCTCCTATATTTTGCGTATACAGAAATGAAGGTAATATGATATTGGGACATGGATAACAGTACATTGAACGACATCAAATCCCTTGCCATAAGACCTTGACAGTGGAGACGCCTACAGGGCTCTTGTATGTCAGGTGTTGTAATAGCAGCACATATATACACACATATTAATGATAACATACTTCAGTGTTGTTGAGACGTGCATTTATTTGCGATTATTTGCGACCCACGGTCGATAAGGAGGTCTTTACGGACTAAATTTAAATTTCAGTGATGATCATGAATTTAGTAAGTTTACGCATCTGCCCCTGTTCACAACCCAACCTCCTTGTTATCACAAAGCGAAAGTCTTTTGATAAGGCCTCCCTTGGATTGGGAATTTTTCGCTTCTTGTAGATTTTAACTGGCGATCTTCTTCATTAAAATCAACACGGTGCTGTTAACCCACTTTAATAGTCCTACTAAAAGTGCCTATTGTGACGTTCCTTTCAGGCTTGCAGCTGAAGCTCTCTCAGTGACGAATTCCGAGTTCTCAGAGTCCACTGGCGAGGCGAAAATGACCTATGCGAAAAAAGAATCCCTGCTCCCTGAACGGTGGAACAGACCTCGAAAGCGCGCAAACACTTTCCCCACCGTAGATGACTGTGGACCACAGAAGAGGCAGAAGAGCAACTTCTCCCTCCTGTACAGCATTCTTGTCGGAGAGGAAGACGCTGACTCTATTAGGCTCAGAAGTCGTCTCTTTCCCAAAAATGCGTCCACAAAGGGGATCTATGGAGCCTCAGTTTCTGGCCCAAACACAGCGTCAAATGTCACTACAACCGCTAAAACGCCGGTTGGAAATCGGGCCATGCCGCAACGAACCCGAGCTACCCCCAGAACTGACGTAAAACCCAGTGCCACTAGAGGTTTGTTGTTTCCACATTTAAGGTCGACCAAACCCCTGGGACGCCTGAGTCCCTTCTGGCCATTCCGTGACGGTTGTGAAAACACTCGCGGGCCTATTACCAACGAAAACTTTCCGCTTGTGGAGGACCCCTTCTTCGCGTTCCAGTGGATTCTCACCGTATTGTGGGGAAAACTGCTTGCCAACTGCGCCTTGCCAGCTATGTCCACCGAATATTCTAGCTCATGGGAGTCAGGTCTTGCCGGCGCAGCCAACGATGAGCCGCTCGATCTCTCGTGTCCAGTAATGAGGCAAAATGAGAAGCGCAGAACCGACCCAACCCCCGACTCTAGAGTCGATTATGATAATTTTTCTGAAACGATCATTAGAAACGGTGAGGTGTGCTGTTTTCGGAGCGGCAGAGCTCCCAATCACTCGCATGGAGTGGAGCTGTCTGTGAACGGCACAACTGGTCCATCGATTCTCATGAAACGATGCAGCAGTTTTGACAGTGGGGATGACAGTCGAACGAGCCTCAGGCAGTTGGAAGAAGTGCTCCATTCTCTTTCGGACATTATGCCTGCACTACCGACGTCAAGGGTCTTATCGGCAGGTGGGGGTCAGCTATCTACCAAAGGTGCAGTATGTCGGGACCCGAATCGACTACGGTCCGATGCGACTGAGCCCGATCTGGGCAGCCATCTCACCACTCCCAGTATATCATCGAAGATGTTGACCGAATCATTTGCCCTGCCATTCGTTTCACCCACTTTCTTTAACGGTGCACTCAAATCTCCTCGACCGACCTTTAATCTCACTGATCCAGCAGGACTCCACCATAATTCAGGCACCGTTTACAGGGGGCAGAACAACCTCTCACAGGACGTCGGAGGAGTTTGGTCGCCGAGTACTGGTTTTGAAAAAGACTCATGTCTGTCTGCCATGTTCTCCCATTTGATGATGGTGAAACGATAAAACTTCCAGGGTAGTATGGTTAGCCAATTCCTGTATTGCGCTAATTTGTATCTTTTAATTTGAGTGAGATCGAGCACCTGGGGGCCACCAACTTGTAAACTGATGTACATCTAAAACCTTCTGAATTGCTTGCAGCTGTCTTCAAAAAAGATTATTATTACTGAAAATCTCCGCCCGCTTTTCCAAATCGCTAAGGCAGAAGCTTAAAACGAATGCGCGCACATTCAGACTCTGTTTGCAGGCCCGCTTTCACGCTAGGGAACTCTGATGTTCGAGGAATGCGACGCTCCCTGCGACGCATAACCGGCGAGTATGTGGATTGCAAACATCAGTGCCTCGACAATGAAAGCAGGTAGCAGTAAGACCGTCGGAGGACATTTGGCTTGCTCCTAACCTGTCCTTTCAGATTTAAAACAAGTTATGAGGATGAATTTAAGTAGCTGAATAAGGTGTCCCCGTTTATGCTGTTTGCTCATATCGGTACACTGGTCCCCAAGTAGGTGGTCCATAGCCATAACGGTTAAACCCTGTGGGAAAGAGGCAGAAAGTGAGTTTGCATCAAAGGATACCATGACCTTGTCCGCACTTGGTTATTATCCACTGTGTCGTTCTGAAGAATCCACGGGTGAGCGACCCATTGTATCAAAGTCATAGGTGAGGTGGCGCGGGCGTAAGAACAACCCTTGAACTCATAATGTGTCGGAGTGGAGCACCGCCTTTGCGCACTCTATGCAACCCACAGAATCTGCCATGGCCGTACCGGCTGGTCCAATACCACGACGTTCTTCGTAACCACACTGCTGTTTTTTTAACCCGGCAAGCCTTGTTCATCGGGTATCCATCGTACCTGGGATATTACTGGAGGCCCTCGAGCACTGCGTTAAACTTCAGGAAGTATTCAAACTTACCAAGTACCACTGTGGGACGTCCCTGGTCTGCTGGCAGTGCCATGAGGCTTGTGTCCTGCTTTAGTATCGGGGGTCATACTGCTCTGCTCTCGGACGCATATAGACATCATGATTGGTCAAGCGACTTACCACACTCTCAGCACAGGCACCGGCTGGAAAAGTAGTACGTGTTTTGTCGAAGTTCCTGTCGTCGTATGACGCACCTTTTGAGGGCTTCGGCTTATTAATGGTTGTTACAGCGTCTGCAATATGCGCACTGATATATACTACGGGATTTTGTGCTAAGATTCTTACTTTTCTTGGAAATAAACGTCTGCACTTGGAGTAAGTTCTTCAGAACAATGCGTTGCAGAGAGCAGCAAAGAGGTGAGTCCCGGGAATCAGTTCAGAAGTACTAGATGCGATCGATAAAACAAGAAATTAAGTTGCCTGTGGTTTTGGATTGTCACTCGGACCCGGCTGTGGACGAGCAAACAAGCATCGTATCAAATATCACTCCCAACTATTGATACGGGAGAAGCTAATTATAAGAGGCGTTTGGTCGCAAGGCGAGTGCGTCTTATAAATACTACACCGTTGTGCGTTCTTTGGCCTCATCAGCAACTGTTCCTGGTGATGGATACGAATGAGAATCTGAAACGAATCGCATCTCAATGTTCTGAATCCGTTTCAGGTCCACTCCTAAATTTACTATAAATATTTGAATAAAATACATCCCCATTGACGGAATAACTGCGCTGCATCCATAATCTGCTCGCAGGCGTTTTATATAAACAAGAAAGCACATGGAGAAAGGCTGGGGAACCCATTGATAATACGAATCCCTCGCAACCGCGTTATGCATCGGCATCAGATCGGCAAAACGTGTTTCGGGGCTTTTAGTTAGTTTCCATGTCGGGAGTATAATGAATAAATCAGCGTTGCTATACTGCTGTCTGTTGAAAGAATGTGAATATTACACTGCTATTCCACTGAAGGGGATGGATCTCAGTTAAAAATCCGTATAAACTGTCGAACTGAATCTGAAAAAAATGGGTCCCGAAGAATTTACTGCAAACTCGTACATTAATTTCTGGATAAATTAATATACCAGGCATATATATGGCATTTATATGCCTGCTTGGGCACGAGAGAGAGCCCCTAAGGCACGGCGGGACAAGTGAACTCCATAAAAACGATCGGTAAGCGCCACCTACCATTGTATATTCCCGATAAAAAGCCGACGGGACGACGAGCTCGTGGTCCAATGGTTAGAGGCGTGGACTTCTAACTAACAGTTCGCGAGTTCGAGCCTCGGGTGCTCCACACTTCGAGATTGGGCATGACTGGCTGACGATGTCTAATAAGCCAGAAATGGCCATTCCAGTCTCCCTTGTCTTTGTCGGCAATGGCATTCTGCCCTTATCGTGCGCCGCTGTGCGGCTGCTGGTTGGGCTCGAGAGAGTGCCCGTAAGGCACAACGGAACGAGTGAGTTTCGTAAGAACGATCGATGAGCGCCCCTATCATTACGTATATAGATATATAGATCGTGTATAGCATCCCCCGATATATAGATATATATATATACATTTGTCAGGAATCTGACAGCATACATCCGGGTAGACTGATATAACTCTGTGTCAGGCTAGTTCCGCCTTCATTCAGTGAATTAAACTTCTGGCTGAGATCTAGGACCAGAAAGAACACGACTGCGTCCACCATGTACCCCACGGAGGGGGCTAAGCACGGAGGATCTGCGCGTAAAACAGAAATGCGCATCGACTGCCGCGCACTGTTCTCCTCATCCACTAGGTTCCGGTGGCAAGACCAGTTCAAAACGACCGGAAGTAGACTTGGGCGCAGTGGCTGGCAAGTCCAAACCCATCTGCACGTGCCACACACAGCCTTCATAATGTGCCAGGTCTTCGCAAAAATCGGGACTCGGATCTCGTGTTCGTCAGAACACCATAGGGGCTACATATGGAAGGTGTCATTACGCCAGTCTTCGAGTCAATCACCTATCACGCGATGCTGACCACAAGGACCGAATTGTTCGGCCAGCTGCCTGCCCTCCAAGCCACGAACTATAGCGCATCGTGACAATGCCAAGATGCGTCAGATTTCTTTTAGTGACTGATTCGCTAAAGTGTCGTTTGGATGGGCCAGTGGTGTCAAATTTGCTCTGTCTTCCCTCTACCGGAAACCAGTCCACCATCTGAGCCCGACAGCCATCTCATGCAGGGGTCGGACCCAAGACGCTGGCAGAGTTAAATAGCTCGTTTTCGCACACCACACTCGACTTGGCCCACATCACAACAGACTGGGCTCCCGCATATACACAACACTGTCCCAGGGCCCAAATAAAAAAGAAGTCAAAGAACACGCTTCTCACTCACGTAAGAGGCGAAGATTCCCTTCTTGCGTTCGGTGATGTTGGGTGGAATTGTGTGTGGTGCATGGGGTGATGGGGATGTGTGCGGTTATGGGCTTAGTCTGCGGCCATTTGCCGCAGATTTCTATAAATAAGACTGTGGCCGAGTAGGCCCATGCCGTAAATGAGGCTAGATCGCAGTTGGTAGCCAGGAATGGGAAGCGGACGGCGAACTTAACCCTATTCCTAACCTCAACCCCAACCCTAACCTCGACCGCAAACGTTAACCGTTAAACCTAACGACATCCCTATCCCTAACCCTGACCGAAATCGTAAACGTAACCGTAACCCTTAGACATAGCCGTAACTGGGAAGCCTAACCGTAAGACTGAAACCCATTCATACGCTCAAACCCCAACCGTAGCCCGTAGCCCTAACCGTAGCCCCAGTAAACAAACCCACCAACCACCTGTAATACAGGTCCTGGCTACCAACTGCGATCTGGCCCAATAATCTGCCAAAACATCTATAAATGAGGGTGATGTTTTGTGGGGTGGTAGGAGTCTCCTCCATGATGAACCTAACAGTAGCGGTAGTTGTGTTGTGTTGTGAGATGAGAGGCTGGTTGGTTGTGTCGGCACTGCACTGAATACAGAGATGTCTCATGAAGCCGATCCGTGCCTGGAATGTCCGTTGGCAATGTGATTAAGATGGCAGATTTTGGATGCTTGCGTCAGTGGGCCGCAGGACTTGAATCTTGCTCGTTTCTCTTTTTTTCTTGCCGGCAGCCACCCAACTTGCTTCAAAGATGGTTACTTCAGTCTTCGTGGCAGTACGCCATGCCCACCGGTCTTGAGCGATGTCCTCCTGGTTCTCCGAGCCAACTGTAGATGCCTGAGCGAAGTCTTCATGGTGTCCTTGTGGCGGACCTTTTGTCCGCCTTTTCTACGACCACTTGTAGTAACATCGTCAAGGAATATTTGCCTGGACAGACGCTCGTGGTCCATCCTCACAACGTGGCCACTCCATCGTAGTTGTATCTGCGTCAGTAGGACGTGGATTTTGAGGGCGACAGTTACTTTCATGACCTCGGTGTCTGGGATCCTTTCCCGCCACTTCGCCCTTAGGATTCTTCGGAAGCTGCCGAGGGGAAAATCAAGTCTTTATGCCGGGTCCTGCAGACAATCTCCGTTTCGGTCTCGTGGAAGAGCGCTGCCAGAAGAAGAGTCCCCTACATCATCAGTTTTGTTTTAAGCAAGATGTCGTGGCGGTCCCAGACGGAGTGTTTTGGCTGTCCGAAGGCCGGGCTAGTTTTGGGAATCCGACTTGCGATTTCGTCGTTGAGCTTGATGTTTTTGAAGTCGTACATATATTGTTGTGAGTTGAATTCCGCCGAAATTGATAAGGAATTCGGTGCCGTCAGCATTTGGCGCCGGCTGGTTTAGAGCCGATCTTTTCTGCATACTGATTGTCAGTCCAAAGACGGCACAGCCATTGGCGAAAAGATTCATACCCCCACGGCATATCCTCTTCCGTTGTGATGTTTGGCGCGCAGTAGTCAGCGGATTCCTCACGATCCACACTGTCCAAAGTCTTGTCAGGTTAACGAAGGTGGTGTAGTGATTGGTCCTCACTTTCGGGAAATTTTCCTGCAGGTGGCCAATCATGAAAATGATGTCTGTGGTTCCGATGTATTTTTGGAATCAGAGATGCCTTTCCGGAAGAAGTCCTAATTCCAAAC